GATACCCAACTCGTTATATGACCCTGACCTTTGACAATTGCTGAATCATTTTATAGATGCAAAATGCAATATATTCTGAAGACTGGCTTGTAAAGCCAGCCATTTGCCATTTGAAGACTGGCTTGTAAAGCCTGCCATTTGCCTTCTTCAGCAAAAGGAGAAAGTATTGGAATGCAGGAAGGTCTGTGCAAGGACATTTGTTTTAACTTCTAATGGATAATTTTAATTTGGGGTTTGTAAATTTTGATCATAAATCACGTGGGTGGGGCTTGTTGTTATTATGGCGCAAGATGGTGATAGAGATGAAACTTCACATAAAATATCCTGGGAACATGGAACCAATAGTAATCCACAGAATGTGTAAAAGTTCCAGATCAGTATCACTTAACCGTTTGCATTCAATTAAATTGAAGAAAATGCAGTCATTTCATAAAAAAATTAGAATTATTAGTCAATAAAAGTATTTTACCTGTTTAATTATGTGTTCATTTGATTGTTTGCATATTTGTTTATTTGTTTGTTCATTCCTAATTACAGTACAGCTCACATAGTAATTTAGATATCAAAGCAGGTGACTTGGACGTACTTTCAGCAACTTATTAAATATTGCTTGAAATGATATCTAATGTAAATACCATTATTTAGTCACCATTAAAGTGTGCTAAACAACAAAACTAAGTCAGTGTGACCTAATTTCCAGGACATCATGGAGCGTGGCTTTAAACTTTTGTATGTTCTCCTGTTGATATACCAGACTGCTCCAGTGGCTTCATATGCAGGAGGTCGTGGGTTCAAACTTCAGCTGAATCATACCAAAAACTTATAAAAATCGTACTTGCTTGGCATTTAGCAGTATGATGTTAGTGTTAGGACCGGTTTTTCTGGTGTCAGGATAATGTGACTGGGTGGGACATAATGGTACATGCCTGTAACATGATGCCCCAGTGTAGACATCACTAGAAACTGCAACACTACAGACATCATAGCAATATGACAGTAAAATTGTTAAAGCTACATTAAAATAACAAAACACACACATACCTATTGATATACCTTTTCACCAGATGCCACCATAACTGCTTTCAGGTGTATTGTTGAATGCTCTTATGTCAGATACCAAAAGTATGTAAGTGACTGTTATATAATTCCTTAAAGACTTGTTTTGCATGTTCCAATTCATTCAACAGAAGCAGGGATGGGGTGGTTATCTTGTAAGCTTCTTATGAACAGCAATTTCAGTGTATTTGTGTCCTATATTTCAGGGCTTTCCTATTCACATGAACCTTGCAATACAGACCACCCCAACATACTCAGATGAGGCCACCATCAGAATGCTTAAGGATCAGAACAAACAGTTAACAGAGGTAATTTATCCACTGGCTTTTTAAGTTTTATAAACATTACCTTAATTGTACAAAGGTATAAAATGCTTTATCTTCAACTTAAATTTTCGTAAACTTATTGTTTGGAGTGTATATGTATTGTAATGTTTATTTCTTTCATCACTTTGTTTAAACTGTTTTTGTTTTTAATAAATAATTTATATAGGTCACAGCCTTCTATCCTCCATGACTGTAATAAGCAAACTATGTATGCGCAACCCAGTTATTATGATCAATGAAAGTGGAAGTGACCCATATGTAACTAAACAAGAAAACTCTCATAGGTGTACATGTATAACAAAAAAATGGATGGTTGTATAAAAAAAATTAAGGGTATGAAAAATAAGACACCTGTTTTAGACATTCTGTATATAAGCCAGTGGTGAAAACTGTAAAAGATGAAGTAAACCACAACCATTTGTGTTACCACTTTCCATTTAAGTACCAACTACAAAGGTATAAAGCAAGTATAATACTCGAAGTATTTTGATGGATCTTAACATGCTGCTATAGTAGCAAGTAATCACCCATCCACAGCTTGTAATATCCATTTATTTCCACCACAGACATCACTGAGAGTACGTGTTATTGTGCCTTTCATAACCAGATTAGTAGATCCAGACCTTTTAGCTTAATAGTATGTTGAAAGTTCCCCACAGTGTGTCACTTGACCTTGTGTATCCCTGAGTGTTATATTTGATGTCTCCACAATAGCTGGTAGTGGAATAGGAAATGTATTTCAGCTGTCTAAGAGGTGAATCTGATTCACAAAGAGAATTCCTCAGCAGATGTGTGAAACCCAAAACTATCTATTGTTGAGCCCTTTTCTGTAAATGTCAGTTTTTATAGACAATGATATAATATTAATCTTAGTGTTACATGTACTCTAGTCAACACTTCTTTCAGTATCAGTGACATTGGGAGACATATCGATGATAGAGACAATCTGATTACTCACCTTACATCATGATATGAATTAATTATTGGTTTTATATACATTTGAAATAAAATGTGGCCATTTGTAAGGGGTACACTTCACATTTTTGTACTAATATGCTGGTCATGCCAGAGGGGTGGCTGTTCTTGAGGGTTACTTTTGAACACAAACTCATTAGTGCCAAGGGATTCTATCTGTAAAAAGCAGGTGGCCACTGATCAGGGAAGCTGTTCAAGAGGAGGACTACTGTAATGTCAGGTTAAGCAGTAGGAGAGTGTAATAATTGAGGTATTAATGCAATGATTTACTGTGCTAGGAGAGTGTAATAATTGAGGTATTAATGCAATGATTTACTGTGCTAGGAGAGTGTAATAATTGAGGTATTATTGCAATGATTTACTGTGCTAGTCCAGACCTTTTATTCTTTTGGTATGTGCCTTTCACTGAAACATCAAGAACCAGGTTTGATTTTAGATGGTGCAGCTATGCTTAATGTTTCCCTTGAATTACAATTGGTCCTCATTAAACTTGTTGAACTAACTGTAGCTACAGGAAACTGCACCGGCAGCCTAAGTGGCTGGAGCTTCTGCCTCTGATATGAGAGGTCATGGGTTCAAACCCTGGCCAAGTGATACCAAAGACTTAAACAAAAATGGTACTAACAGCTGCCTCTCTAGGCACTCAGCATTAAGAGTTTAGTGATAGGACTGGTCGGCCTGGTGTCAGGATAATGTGGGACATGATGACACATGTCTGCAGCAGAATGCTATATTGATATGACTGAAAAAAAATGCTACATTAAAAATCCAAATCTCACACAGACACACAGTAGCTACAAGAGCAGTGGAGGTTGCATTTTGAGTACTGAAAGATGATTCAGAGTGACATTTTGAAGATTGGGAGGGAGGTTAATCATAGAAAAATTCAAGACCATCTGTTCTAGTGGTATGTACACCAGACTGTATTAAGTTTAATTCCCAATAGCAAAAGCCAAACTTGTGAAGCCATACCTTCATAGATCTTCCTGAATAAATAACATGAAACAAGTTTCCATTTCCTTCAAACATACTGTGATAATATAGTTTAATTGACTTTTGTTACATTTTTTTTTTCAGGAGGTTAGTCATAAGAATGACAGAATAACACAGCTAGAACAGGAGAAAGGAAGTCTAATCAGAGAACTTTTTGACTCCAAATCAAATCAAAAATCTAACTATGATGATACCACATTCATGTGAAGGGGAAATGTTTTGCTACATCTGCAGTGGTGTTCTTGCTTTGCTCAAATTGCCTAGAAAGGCAGTTCTTTTTGTCAGTGCTGTGTTTGGAAGCTTTTCTATAGGCAAAAGTTGATTGAGTCGTTGGTGCAGGTTTCATATCACAAATTGCATGTAAGTTGCTTATAAATTTTGCCTTATATGTAACCCTGTATGAACTGTATATACAATGATCTCTCTTTCACTGGTCAAGAAAACCAAATGAATGTTCTGTGATATAAGTGAGGTCACGCTCTACTGAAATAGGAGGCACTATCAAATATGAGTGTTTATAAAACACATCCTCATGCTTTATATCCCCACCTGAAAAAAAACTGTCCCCAGGACAAAAGTTGAAAGAGAGAAGAATGCAAGGATCGGTTAAGTTCCATATATGAATTCTTCTTATCATGTAAGTGTATATATGGTATATGTGGCTGCTGGGTGGGGATGACAATAGTTTTGAAAGTTATTGCTCAGGGGTCAAGTCCCCCAAAAAGTGATGGACCTACATGGCAATGACATTTACATTTATGATGTTGTATTTTCGCGCTCAGTGTTTTATGGTTATCATGTGGAGTTGAGTTATTTTTTCAGAATATGCAGTCTTTCAGGTTTATACCAAATCACATCAACCCCCATATCATGCCAACCCCATTCCCTGTGGCTGCTTCAAAATAACAAATGCATCATGCACATCACATCTGTAGACAGCTCCAAACATATCCAAAAGATTGAAGTTGAATAAAAACGTGGATAGACAGGATCACATAATTCCAGCTTTTTCTCTTAATGGTAATTTCATCAAGATAAGTACCTTCATCCCAGAATGAGACCCACTACCGTACAGATGTTATATAAATGACTTTACTATCTTATACTGAAGGATCAGTGTATTAAGAGAATGGTATTATCATTTATTATTTAGGTCTCAATTTGCATGATTTAAGAAAAGGGACATTTTTATGTGTGCTTAAATTCATGGTTATGCCAGTCAAAGATTGCGTAATTTGCATGTATTTATTTTATGTTTCATGGATTAACCTCAACAAATGCCCCAATTACAGTATACAAAAGAACAAAACTAAGAGCACAAGAAATGATGGTCATTTGAATGGTTAAAATAGTACTGCCACCTGTATAAGCACAAATCAAACTCATGTCAAGATAAATGACTTGCATTCAACACCAAAAAGGGAGTCAATACAGTGAGCACTAAGTTATTCTTGTTACTGTTTCAAGTTGAAAGTTGAAGAGATACTTTAAGAAAACAAGTCAACTAATGAAACTGCAGCATTGATATGTACACGTAACTCATTTTATAAGTTGGTTGGTTAGTTTTATTAACACATTATCAGCTGTCATGCAGAGGAAATTGTAGTTAAGGGCTTTTCCAAAGGACACACTGTGGCAGTGAATCCAGAATAGCCTGGGTTGGTATTGAACCCATGTACCTTGGATTACAAGTCAAACACTGTACCAGCTGAGCTACCATGGCTCTAAAGTCCTGTCCTTGTCTGGTAGTTTCCTTTTAAATAGAAGTTAAATATTTGGGCATAATGAAGAAGGGTGGTTCTTTATGTTTAGTGTCTGTAAGGTATTTTCATTATAAACATTTGTGTTATCATTGTATGAAAGAGTGCACATGGTTTTGCTGTAATTGTATCTAATTGATCAGGCTTTGCTTGTCTAACAGCTGTCAGCCTATAGATAAATAATTGTAAATTATTGTTTATTTAAATTCTAATGATCACTAACTAATTATTTAGAGTGTGACTTCTATATTGTTGATAAATTTAAAAAATAGACCACAACATGCCATGGCAACGAAGCTTTATAGAGGGTCTATTCTGCCTCTTTTTAATACTTGTTTAATAGGGTCCCATATAAGCTTGTTTTGCCATGGTGTGTTGTGGTCTCTTGTCATTGTATGATGTATAGTTGATTAATAATATTCTTTATATCATTGTTTGTTGTTCAAATAATATTCTTTACAAGTCATTGTTCCATGTTCAAATCATTATTGTTATTCATTAAGCAAATTGTTTCAGAAAGTAATTTGAGTAATTTTTGTTTCACCTAAAATTGTTGTCAGGAATACCTTCATTATCAGTTTACACTGAATTGATTTATCATATATACTCACTTATAAATTATGTCAAACTTCAAACAGCAAAAACACAAGTCTGTTGGATCATAAAGCACCTGCAGATCAGGGTCTGTTTTTTCTTCAAATACTAACAAACTGTACCAAACCAGATCTGCCAACACATTTTGACTGGACTTATAAGTAATTATATATGGTATCAATTACCATCCCATAATTAACTTTTTGTCATCTAAATATAGCATTCAGTACTACACTTCATGAATAATTTTTTTCCAAAGATCAAGTTTAATATGCATCTTCTTTTAACTAGTGCTGATTGATTTGTAAAACTAATGCTGTTAATTCACTTTTATTTTGGTGTCTGGTATGGATTTTGAGTTTATTTTGAAGGTAGAGTATGAATTTAGAGTTTTGGATCAGACTTTGAATTTAATATTGATCATCTATCCCACAAGATGCATACTCAACAGTGTACCATATAATTCATTAAATGGGCTCTCCCATGAGATACATACTTGACAGTTAGCCATATAATTCATTCAATGGGCTCTCCCATGAGATACATACTTGACAGTTAGCTATATAATTTATTAAATGGGCTCTCCAATGAGATGGATATTCAACAATGATCTGTATAATACTTTGCATGAGCTATCTAATGAGATATATACTTGGAAGTGATCCGTATATTTTTTTCTAATGAGCTGACTGTCCCATGAGATCTATACTTGTCAAATGATCATCCAGTTGTTAAGAGAAATATAAAATACATTTGATATTTAGCACCACCTGTCGTTGCTCATATGCACAGAAGTTTTATTACAGAGATCCAATTTGAGATTGATAATTGTCATAATAAAAAATACACTCAGCTGGCATGAATTTGTTTTTGTGCATTTTATACATAATGTGTGATCTTCTACCAGCACAGATTTGATAAATTTTTAAATACTCATTCCGCTATGGGGGTGGGGGGCAATTAATAAAATGATACTTTTCAGACACTGTTCATGTAATGACTCTTACTTAGGGATAGGCATTCAACTAAGAGTAACATGAGGCCCCCATTTTTTAATAAAGTTGAGTATCATATATACTCACATGCAAGTCAAATCCAACAGTAAATTGCACAGACCAAGATTTGTCATCATTTAATGTGCATGCAAAGTGGGTCTATGCAATTTGTTCTGAGTAATCAGTGGAAGAAATAATATAGAGCCTGATTTGACAGTGCCTATTACAGTTGCAAATCAAGGTCCATGTTGTTTGCAATTGGACTCAAATTTATCAGCAAGTATGTATGGTACTATCTGTATTTCACAAGCATTAATTACATTATAACCAGGACAAAATGTAAAGATTATATTAATAGTGTATTTATCACTGTATAATGTGTAAACATCTGCAAATATTGTACACCCATTTCTGTTGTAATAATGTGCCAATAGCCGCATTCAACCAGACTTTTGTCCCTCTGTGAAATTTTGTCTTATGAGGGTCAGGATTTTGTCTTGTAATTTCAGAATGAAGCATTCCAAAGATTTAAGATGAGGTTATGAAATATATGATTGTAATAGTGAAATGACATCACATTTCACATAGTAATGATTAGTTTTATTGGTTGATTAAGATATCTTATGCATCAGCATTTGGTTAAAATGTGATACTTAATGATATCCTTTTAAGCTTACAATACAATTTTTATTTGAATAATCACAGAACGTATGTCTATTTAAGTTTTGATATAGCAAGGAATATCTTTTTTGTGTATTCACTTGTGCAAAGTTTAACTAACACACCTGGTATTAACAGTGATTATTGGCACAAAGTGTCATTTGGCCAAAATCTCATAGACCATGAGCTTGAGAGTGATTATTGACACAAGAGTGCCAATTTGCCAAAATCTCATCATCCACGACCTTGACAGTGATTATTGACACAAAGTGTCATTTGGCCAAAATCTCATAGACCATGAGCTTGACAGTGATTATTGACACAAGAGTGCCAATTTGCCAAAATATCATCATCCACGACCTTGACAGTGATTATTGACACAAGAGTGCCATTTGGCCAAAATCTCATCGTCCACGACTTTGACAGTGATTATTGACACAAGAGTGCCATTTGGCCAAAACCTCATCGTCCATGACCTTGACAGTGATTATTGACACAAGAGTGCTTTTTGGCCAAAATCTCGTTGTCCATGACTTTGACAGTGATTATTGACACAAAGTGACATTTGGCCAAAATCTCATCATCCATGACCTTGACAGTGATTATTGACACAAGAGTGCCATTTGGCCAAAATCTCATCATCCATGACCTTGACAGTGATTATTGACACAAAGTGTCATTTGGCCAAAATCTCATAGACCATGAGCTAGACAGTGATTATTGACACAAGAGTGCCAATTTGCCAAAATCTCATCATCCACGACCTTGACAGTGATTATTGACACAAGAGTACAATTTGGCCAAAATCTCATCGTTCACAACTTTGACAGTGATTATTGACACAAGAGTGCCATTTGGCCAAAATCTCATTGTCCATGACCTTGACAGTGATTATTGACACAAGAGTGCTTTTTGTCCAAAATCTCATTGTCCATGACTTTGACAGTGATTATTGACACAAAGTGCCATTTGGCCAAAATCTCATAGACCATGAGCTGGAGCGCATTATATGAAATTATTTTTGAGTCTACAGTGATTTAGAGCCAGTGTGTCAATCTGTTAGACCAACATTTTAAGTGCTATGCTTTATGTAAATCAGGCAGTTATTTAAAGTTCAAATATTGTATGATATGGTAGGGTTATGATAATGATACTTGGATTTGGTTTTAGAGTTTATAAGTTGGCCTGTTGTCTGTCTGCCTGTCCATTAGCACAAGCATTTTAATAATGTTCTTATAATATATGAAGGGTTACGTTTACTTTACACATTCGTCTCACGGTCTAGTTGGTCCTAAGTAAAAATGGTGTCACTCAGACATCCAATACAGCTGCCATGGGATTTGTCTAAAAAATCTTTTATTGCTGCTCCTTTTAAATGGTAAGCCATGTCACTCAGACATCCAATACAGCTGCCATGGGATCTGTCTAAAAATATCTTTTGTTGCTGCTCCTTTTGAATGGTAAGCCATGTCAACAAGGCATTGTGATCACATGACTTATGATGTATTTTGGTTCTAAATGAAGATAGTGTTGCTTTGACTTCCAATATGACTTCCATTGTTGACCTCTTAAAAATCTTATTGCTACTCTTCCTAGATGGATTGTCATATTGACATGGAGTTTTCAGCAAAAGAGATATTATGATGTCTAATTGATCCTTAAAAAATGGTATTGATCTGACATCAAGTACTGTCACCATGGCAGATGTCTTGAAAATCTCACAGCTACCATTCCAAAATTAGAAAGTTGTATCAGTATATTAGCTTTTTCTCAGAAAACCTAGTGTTATAGTATGTCGTAAATAAAAGGGATGCCAATCTTATCTCCAATATGGCGACCATGTTGGATGCCTTGACAGTCATGTTATTGCTACTCCTTCTGAATGAATGGTCACATCAACATGAGGTTTTTACCAAAAGTCTTGTTATGGTATTTAGTTTATCTGAAAAAAAATGGTTCCAATCCTACATCCAATATGCCTACCACAGTAGCTGATTTGATAATTTTGTTATCGATTAAGAATATCAGAGAAGATTTCAACACTCTGGAAAAAAAAAGAATGATCTGATCTTGGATTCCAGAAAATAAATTCTTTTTGGTCAGTGATCATCTGTCTAATGAAGGAATGCTTGATTATATATACATTTAAGGAAAGACTTTAAAATCACGATTTTTGTGGGGGACAAATTTTCATGGCTGTTACAAACCATGGTTTTAAATACCCAGTGAATGGTAATCTTTCTGTAGAAAAAATAGGAAGCCACCTTAATCTTTATATTTAATTACTAATTCAGCTTTTTGTGCTTGCGTAAGTTTTGTTTTTCTATAACACTATCCTAAATGAAAATGGTGTTACTTCATGTATCCGATATAGAATCCCCAGCGGTCAAACAAATGTCTTGCTGTGTTCCGCCTGGGATCCCTGGGTGGCAGAGTGGTATAAAATAACTCTCCTTTGTCTGTATGGGTTTGAGTCTCAGGCTCAGCCAATGTGATATATGAGAAAGCTTGCCAGTAATATCCTGTGTGTTTTTCAATCAAGGTTTTCCCGGGATTTTCCTCCATCAGTTATACTTGCTGCCATATGTAGCCTATCTTGTGCTGAAAAATGACATTAAACCCAATACAACAACATCTACTCAACCTGAATGGCTGGTCATATCTACATGGGCATTTTACTAATAGACTTCTTATGATGTTGAGTTGGTCATGAAT